AGCTAAAGCGCAGAATGAACTCAGGCTTGCTAGAGAGGTTAAGAAAAAGGGCTTTTTGGGGTATGTCCACAGCAAAAGGAAGAAGGAAATGGTAGGGCCACTGTGTGGAGAAGATGGTAAAAAGTAAACAGGGGACAGAGAAAAGGCAGAATTATTCAATACCTTCTTTGCTTCAGTCTTCTCAGAAAAGGCAACAGGTGCTCAACCGTCTGCAGATGTCAACCATGATGTGCAGATTTTCTGCAAATCCTTTCCTTTGGGAAGAAGGCAGTGCATTTCCTCATTTTGTGCCAGTTATAAACGTCTGCAAAACATTTATAACCGAGTTTCAAGGTGAGCAATGCAAGACTATGTTTGTCCCAAAAGAGATGCAGTACCTAGCATGCTTCCCTCTTTACCCGCTTGCTATTTCCACACATCTGATACTCTCTCTCAGTTCCTCTGGGTCTGGGCAACCTCCAGTGTTGAGTACTTAAGTGCTGCTCCTTTATTTCCTACAACTCCATCTCCACTACCATTTCACTCAGTCTTGAAGTAGTACCTCATTGTCTTTCAGGGAAGGTCTAGCTACAGCACAGCCCTTCATCACTTCCACCATCCTGCCATTCAGATCCTAGTTCTTAGAAATAAAACTGAGGTCTCTTGCCACACAGAGACATTCATCTGAGGCTTGCATGGCTGTGATTTCAAAGGCATTCAAGGCAGTAGGTCAAAAGACCATTGACATTTGAAGGGAGAATAACTGTTTGTACTTCCAGTTGAGGAGGTGGCAAAGATTTGTTTCTTCTTTCCTGTTCTTTATGTTTAAAACAGTGGCAGTAACACTGAAAATTGTGGCTGAACAGTGATGGATATCTCTGCAGTTAAACGCTCTGAAAATGGAGCCAAGGATGAGCCTTTTACAGAAATTTCAACAGGTTGAAGACAGAGAATATGAAACCAACTTGAGGGAACTTAGAAAATGGAGCACATGTTTTATGGATTTAGAATTCTATTGACATGCTTTGAATATATCTATTATTGGTGTGTCTGTGTGCACATGCCTGTGTGTGTACTTAGTAATACTATTAGCAAGACTGAAGCATGAGAAATGATAATGACAGCATTTTTTCCCTGTAGGTCTGTATTCGTCTCCTCCTTCCCTTTCTCCACAGTTTTGTTGATTTTCCCACCAGGATTGGCATAGACATGGAGGCCCTGTGTACCTAAGCAATCACCCCTTTCTCCTCAGCTTTCATTGCCTTTCATTGCCACAGTCAGCACAAAGAAATAGTCCTGCAGTAACAAGGCAAAAGGCATCTAGGGGCAACTGATTTTTCATACTTCTTTTGTATGGCCTTGTGGATTTCTAAAGAGATTAAAACTCCTGTTAAACCAGATTTCTACAAGGGTTCAGTTGACTGCCATAGAGAGAAGCTTTTGCCTCCACACACTGCCTTCTGACTTCTCTGGGTCCCATATACATTCTATAAAATCAGTGGGAGTTTTGCTAATGATTTCACTAAATGCTGGACTGAACCCAACTTGAAGGCTTCAATTCCATGCTTGGGAATAAATCCCACAGATCTAGGAATGGGTGGATTTGTCCATGTCAGTTTCATGTTCTTTCCTAGATCTATTCTATTTTCCCCATCAATCTATACTCATTTGAATGAAAGATCATAGTATTTTAATCTTTCCCCCCCCCCAAAATGCATTTTCATTTACAACATTAAATATTTGTTCTACACATACTTTAGAATGGTTCTGAGCTCAGAAAATAATTTGGAGAAAGTGCAAAAACAGGCTGTCTGTGTTCTGATCTATGTATTACTTCAAGAAGTGCAAATCAGGCTTAACAAAATCCTTAAGGCATTCAGACATTCCACTCAGTTGGACCTATGGAGAAATAAATATGATGGCATCACAAGGCTTTTTGTCATGCCTTCTCTGCAAATTCAGAACTTCAGCAACAGACTGAATAACAATTTTATAAATGTGGCTTAGTGGTTTGAGCATTGGACTATGACTCTGGAGATCAGAGTTCGATTCCTGCTCAGTCACGAAACCCACTGGATGATGCTGGGCAAATCACATGCTCTCAGCCTTAGGGGAAGGCAGTGACAAACCTCTTCAGAATGAATCTTACCAAGAAAACCCCATGATAGAGTCACCTCTGAGTATTCAATGCCTAAGAAAACCTTATGAAATTAATGGGGTTGCTATAATTGACAGGTGACTTAAAAACACACAGAAAATGATTGTAACATATTCATTGTTTGAGGCAATTGGATCTTCAAATGTATTGAAAAGCACATGTGTGGCTCTTGCTGTGAATCTCCCTTTGAAATTTTGTCTCTACAGAAGTGTTTTCATTAATAGAAATAAATGCCAGGCTAGTCTTTTGTAGTAAATATGCTTTTCACTTGTGATGCACCAACTGCAGTAGAGGATTCTCAGGAAATTCACCTGATACTGACTTTGATGTCAGCATTTTCAGTTCATGTGCCTGCTTACTTGGAAGTAAGGTTCACTGTGGCCTGTGGAGCTTGATTCCAGGTATGTGGGTGTGGGATTAGTTTTTTTATTGTTGTTTTACTCTGGTCTAGCTTTGCTGCTCATTTGCTATAGGGCTCATTCATGCTTGCATTTAAACCAGTTTCTGAGTAACATAGAATTGGGATCGCAGAAGCGATTTGAACCAAAATGAAGTTCACGCTACATTTTCTATTACCGAACGCATTCGTGTCAATTTAACGCAATTCATGTTCACACTTACTTTTGCACCACTACAAAATGGATTCTCAATATTGGATGTGACCAATCCATCCTGAGTTGTTTGTTTTTTTATTATATATTAAAACACACATAACATATTATACATACATTAAACATTAAACATTAAACAAACAACAATATAACATAAACATACATTAAATATCACCTACAAACATAAAATAAGACTTCCCCTCCTTTAATTTGAATATACTTAATTATTATATTTAACTTTCATATAATTCCTTAATATATATATATACTTGATTTTGCATTTCCATTTCTATTTCCTCCCAATCTTAAAATAGTCTTCCATATTCATCTTTATCCATTACACATCATATATTTTAATCCATTCTACATCTTAATTTTAACAGGGCCTGTGTATTTATCATACCTCTTATATTTTTATAATTCTCTAACTTTTTATTAAACCCATTTCTCATTCCTTCAGAGCAATCACACTGTTTTCTCCCCAAAGATCTTTAAAATATTCTATAATCGGTGTCCATTCTTTTCCAAATTCCCCACTCTTGTCTCCTTTTATTAATGATGTTAGTTTATCCATTTCCATGACATCATATAGTTTACATTGCCATTCTTCTATATTAAGAGACTCTTTGCTTTTTCAACACACTAGCTTCGAAATAAATCCTTAAGCATTGGATAAAAGATTGGTTAAAACTAGAAAATAAGAGGATGTTGGAAA